TAAAGGAATGGAACAGACTGCCTGTACATGTCAAAGCCAGTCATAGCATGAACCAGTTCAAGAAGAGTGCCAAAAGGTGTCTGATGAATGTAGCTACAGAAAGGGAGGGGAATGATTTTCTATTTTTTAGCTAACATACGTGTAAATTTTACCTTATTCCTAGTAACGGCCCTCGTATTGTAGATAGTCTTTTTAGTATGATAATAAGATGTTATCTTCATTATAAAATAATAAGAAAATATTATAACCTTTATATTATAATAATAAGGTAAAAGGACCCCAATGGAAATAAGCCACTCTGTCTGACTTTTTTGGGTTATCCTAGGTTCTCTACACATATGCTGCTATGTACGATAATTTTATGTAACTGTATTTGTGTATACCTGAATAAACTTACTTACTTACCCACAGCATTTTGCCTTACAGCACTCCGCTAATACAACAATTTCAAATTATGACTAAAACTTGCTATATGGTCTTTCCAATATGGCGTGCCCCATCTGGTTTGTTTACATTCTCCGTGAGCACATCTCTCTATTATGTCTGGAAACTTTCCAAAATTTCAAGTGTTTTAAAGTTATTGCATATTTTATATACAGTGGACCCCCGCATAACGATCACCTCCGAATGCGACCAATTATGTAAGTGTATTTATGTAAGTGCGTTTGTACGTGTATGTTTGGGGGTCTGAAATGGACTAATCTACTTCACAATATTCCTTAAGAGAACAAATTCGGTCAGTACTGGCACCTGAACATACTTCTGGAGTGAAAAAATATCGTTAACCGGGGGTCCACTGTATACTCTGATAATTATACTTATGTGCACCTGTACCTAAATATACTTACATACTGTGCTGGTATGCAGGTACACATTAAAATCATTAAGTCTCTCTACTCGATGCCATATAATCTTTTGGGAGCATTAAATGTCATATATTACATTAATATAGACATTTCCATTAATCCATCTAAGATATTTTTTCAAAATTATATAATAAACACGCTTCGTAACATATGAACATGATAAACACACCCCACAGTAGAATAAATTAACATAAATATGAGGTGTTTTTCCAGTCATCTTGCCGGAGTGTCAGAAAGAATAACGTTTTCTCTAGTTCAACACCAAAGAAAATGTGTACACAATAATATTACCGGGGGTAACTAGTAAATTGTTCTTTTCATATGCCTTCACTCAGAGCATCATTCCTTCTAAAAATGGTGTTACATGAGAATGGGAGTGTTGCTCTTTATTTATTCTACTATACCAACATGGAGACAACTTGTGCATAATGTAAAGTGTTTGTACAAATGTGTATGAACCATAACCAGATGCATTCATCTTCTTGTTTATATACTCTGCATCTCTCTCATTTCTCAGTTACTCTTTTTCTCTGTCTCGTTTATTCATTTTACCTCATTTACTCACCTCTCACCCTACATTAAGATTACAAATATTTTAAGGAAAGTAATGAGTGCACTGTACAGTGGACCCCCGCATAACGATCACCTCCGAATGCGACCAATTATGTAAGTGTATTTATATAAGTGTATTTATGTAAGTGCGTTTGTACGTGTATGTTTGGGGTTCTGAAATGGACTAATCTACTTCACAATATTCCTTATGGGAACAAATTCGGTCAGTACTGGCACCTGAACATACTTCTGGAGTGAAAAAATATCGTTAACCGGGGGTCCACTGTATATGCATTTTATCGTTCTAGGGCACTTTAAATGTCGTAGTACATAATGTGTGGGTGGGATGCCCTGGCCTGGCTGGCTACTGTACCTCCCACACCTGACTTCTGACAAATAAATAATACTCACTTCTCACCCTACATTAAGGCTACAAATATTTTAAGGTACATAATTGTACTCAGGGGTGCTTTAAATGTCGTAGAATATTACGCATGGGTGGGGTGGCCTGGCCTGGCTGGCTACTATACCTCCCACACCAGACTTCCTACAAATAAATACTACTCACCTCTCACCTTACATTAAGACTTCAAGTATTTTAAGGTAAATAACGAGTGTACTGAGTGTGTATTTTACTTTTTATTGTTTTTAATGCCTAATTTGATGGCTAACTTAATACAGTGAACCCTCAGTTAACGCCTGCATCGGATAACGCCAAAATCGGATAACGCCTCGCTTTGGTGAAAAAAATTGGCTTGGATAACACCTAAAAACTTGGTTAGGAGCTTTTGTCCCGAATGTGTCAGCACGGCGCCCTGAGTGGGCCCGGCCACTCACTCCGTGTACCAGCCAGTGTGCCATTGTTTACAAAGCCAGTGAGGACGATTCCACGTGTACATGCGATATATTTTGTATTATTCCATTGTTTTTGGTGCTTATAACTTCTAAATAAGCCACCATGGGCCCCAAGAACGCTTCTAGTGCTAGCCCTATGGTAAAGAACGTGAGAAACACATAAAATTTAAGAAAAAGCTTGTAGAAAAATACGAAAGTGGTGGTGGTGGTAGAGGGTGGTAGCGATTGTGATAGTGGTAGAGGGTGGTTGTGGTTGTGGTACAGGGTGGTAGCAATTGTGATGGTGGTAGTGGGTGGTAGTGATGGTGGTAGAGGGTGGTAGTGATTGTGATGGTGGTAAGGGGGGGTTGGTAGCGATTGTGATGGTGGAAGAGGGTGGTAGCGATTGTGATGGTGGTAGCAATTGTGATGGTGGTAGAGGGTGGTAGTGGTTGAGGTAGAGGGTGGTTGCAATTGTGATGGTGGTAGAGGATGGTAGTGATGGTGGTAGAGGGTGATAGTGGTGGTGGTAGAGGGTGATAGTGGTGGTAGTGGTTGTGATGGTGGTATGGTATGAAAAGGCATGGTGAGGCTGCCAGTTCTGATAAAAAAGCGGCTAAAAATATGTGCAGGACTTTAACCCTTTGAGGGTCCCCAGTCCCTCTCAGAGACTTGCTCTTAGGGTCGCCAAAATTAAAAAAAAAAAAAAAAAAAAAAAATTCTTATGAAAATACAGTTTTTTTCTAAATATTATAGGCTAAACAAAAAAAATTTTAACCATCAATACTTACTGAGATATGGCGGCATGAAGTTGACAGAAAATACCCGGTATATGGTAACATCGCCGACTGCCGTCACCCGGTATTACTTTATTTAGTTTTTTATATACTATTTTCTATTATTTTTTTTTTCCAAGTAACTTTTATGGCCTGCGAGACCAATATGAGCACTATTTTGTAAGTTATTTCTTTTTCTATACTGGTATGTATCTTACCTGGAGTTTACCTGGAGAGAGTTCCGGGGGTCAACGCCCCCGCGGCCCGGTCTGAGACCAGGCCTCCTGGTGGATCAGAGCCTGATCAACCAGGCTGTTGCTGCTGGCTGCACGCAAACCAACATACGAGCCACAGCCCGGCTGATCCGGAACTGACTTTAGGTGCTTGTCCAGTGCCAGCTTGAAGACTGCCAGGGGTCTGTTGGTAATCCCCCTTATGTGTGCTGGGAGGCAGTTGAACAGTCTCGGGCCCCTGACACTTTTTGTATGGTCTCTTAACGTGCTAGGACACCCCTGCTTTTCATTGGGGGGATGGTGCATCGTCTGCCAAGTCTTTTTCTTTCATAAATGGGTGATTTCATGTGCAAGTTCGGTACTAGTCCCTCTAGGATTTTCCAGGTGTATATAATCATGTATCTCTCCCTCCTGCTTCCCGGGAATACAGGGTTTTGGAACCTCAAGCGCTCCCAATAATTGAGGGTTTATCTCCCTTATGCGCGCCGTGAAAGTTCTCTGTACATTTTTTTAGGTCGGCAATTTCACCTGCCTTGAAAGGTGCTGTTAGTGTGCAGCAATATCCAGCCTAGATAGAACAAGTGACCTGAAGAGTGTCATCATGGGCTTGGCCTCCCTAGTTTTGAAGGTTTCATTATCCATCCTGTCATTTTTTTTAGCAGATGCGATTGATTTCAATGTTATGGTCCTTGAAGGTGAGATCCTCCGACATGATCACTCCCAGGTCTTTGACGTTGGTGTTTCCCCTCTATTTTGTGGCCAGAATTTGTTTTGTACCCCTGATGAAGATTTAATTTCCTCATGTTTACCATATCTGAGTAATTGAAATTTCTCATCGTTGAACTTCATATTGTTTTCTACAGCCCACTGAAAGATTTGGTTGATGTCTGCCTGGAGCTTTGCAGTGTCTGCAATGGAAGACACTGTCATGCAGATTCGGGTGTCATCTGCAAAGGAAGACACGGTGCTGTGGCTGACATCCTTGTCTATGTCGGATATAAGGATGAGGAACAAGATGGGAGCGAGTACTGTGCCTTGTGGAACAGAGCTTTTCACCGTAGCTGCCTCTTATGAGTTACATCCAGGTAAATTTAATTTTCCACACTGCACATTACCCTCAGACATGACATCTCCACTGGAAACCCCACACCTGGTCTTGTATAAGTGTAGTGGAAACCCCACACCTGGTCTTGTGTAAGTGTAGTGGAAACCCCACACCTGGTCTTGTATAAGTGTAGTGGAAACCCCACACCTGGTCTTGTATAAGTGTAGTGGAAACCCCACACCTGGTCTTGTATAAGTGTAGTGGAAACCCCACACCTGGTCTTGTATAAGTGTAGTGGAAACCCACACATGGTCTTGTATAAGTGTAGTGGAAACCCCACACCTGGTCTTGTATAAGTGTAGTGGAAACCCCACACCTGGTCTTGTATAAGTGTAGTGGAAACCCCAAAACCTGGTCTTTTTATAAGTGTAGTGGAAACCCCACACCTGGTCTTGTATAAGTGTAGTGGAAACCCCACACCTGGTCTTGTATAAGTGTAGGGGAAAAACCCCACCCCTGGTCTTGTATAAGTGTAGTGGAACCCCACACCTGGTCTTGCGTGAGTGTAGTGGAAACCCCACACCGGGTTTTTTGTGTGAGTGTAGTGGAAAACCCCACACCTGGTCTTGTCACCACACAGGTCAGGAGGACCTCCATGTATAGGGTGACACTGAGGCATAGACGCCACACTTACCTTCATGTGTGTGTGTGTGCTCAGCCTTGATAACAGTGTTGGTCAACCTTGACAACAATGTTGGTTAACCTTGACAACAATGTTGGTCAACCTTGACAACAATGTTGGTTAACCTTGACAACAATGTTGGTCAACCTTGACAACAGTGTTGGTCAACCTTGACAACAGTGTTGGTTAACCTTGACAACAGTGTTGGTCAAGAAGGTATCGTACAACTATCCATCATAAATGAAGCACCAACAGCTGCACTACTTCACTCATGTACACAAACACTGACGTCACTTATGTCACCCACTTCTTGTTGGGTTTATAAGGGCCTCTGCCTGCTTGTGCTGTATCGAACCCTGCTTCTTGGTGTAAGTTTATTCAGGTATAAGATAAGATTTCGTTCGGATTTTTAACCCCGGAGGGTTAGCCACCCAGGATAACCCAAGAAAGTCAGTGCGTCATCGAGGACTGTCTAGCTTATTTTCATTGAGGTCCTCAATCATGTCCCCCAGGATGCGACACACACCAGTCGATTAACACCCAGGTACCTAATTGCTGCTAGATGAACATGACAACAGGTGTAATGAAACGCGTCGAAATGTTTTCACCTCGCCAGGAACCGAACCCGGGCCCTCCGTGTGTGAAGCGAGAGCTTAAGCCAACAGGCCACCGGGCCGCTTAACACAAATACAGTTACGTAGATTATCATACATAGCAGCATACAATTACATAGATTATCATACATAGCAGCATACAGTTACATAAATTATCATACATAGCAACATACAATTACATAGATTATCATGCATAGCAACATACAGTTACATAGATTATCATACACAATTGTGACTGGACAGAGATAACAAGTTGCACGGACGTAATCGATGCCTCGGAAAAATTCAAAACAATGTTCACTACCATCCTTGATAATATTGCACCAGTTAAAGAGGTTAAGATTAAACGAAGAACTGAACCCTGGATGACTACTGAGATATTAGATAATATGAAATTCAGAGACCAGCTGTTAAAAAGATTTAAAGCAAACAGACAGGATATTGCAGCACTAAATGAATTCCAAAGGGTGAAGAACAGAGTACAGAGACTTATAAAAGGAGCAAAGGCAAAGCACTATTGTTCAAAAATAAAGAGTATAAGCATAACCCCAGAAAGCTCGGCAAAAAACTAAAACAGTTGGGGGTATAGCCATAAGCCAGTAGATAGGTCTAACATAGTACTCACTATCGATAATGATGTATGCCACGAAACATCTAAGGTGGCAAATTGCTTTAATTCCTACTACACATCTGTTGCATCAACACTAGTAAGTAAACTAACCAGCTGCATAAAATACCTTAAACACAGACTCTGATAAGTTTCAAACATACTATACCAATAAAGGGGTAACCCCAAACAGTTGTCAACTAGTAAGTGTATCTCATGACTTCATTCAAAAAGAACTAAGCAGGGTAAACCCAACTAAGAGCACAGGCCCTGACAACATCCCGTCTAAGTTCCTAAAAGATGGTGCTTCTGAACTGTCAATCCCTGTTGCTCACATAATAAATCTATAAATTTCACCACTAATACCGTACCGGAGGGGTTCAAGGAGGCCAGAGTTACTCCTATCTTCAAGAAAAATAATAGGTCTGATGTAAGCAACTATAGGCCTGTTAGTATACTCAGTATAATATCTAAAATTCTGGAGAGGGCGGTGTATTCTCAAGTAGTTAAGTACCTTATGACAACAGCCATTTTTCCATAGCTATCAATCGGGCTTTAGAAGATCCTACTCAACCGACACCTCCCTTATTAATCGATGGATTACCTGAGAACTGAAATGTAAAAGGGGGGAACCTCATAGGTATGGTAACCTTAGACCTGCAAAAGGCCTTCGATACTGTCAACCACAATATATTATGTAAGAAACTTCAAGCTTTTCGGTATAGGTTCTGTAGACTGGTTTAAGTCCTACCTTAGCAACCAGGAGACAAATAGTCAAAATCAACAAAACGGAATCAGAACCCCTGCCGATAACATGTGGAGTTCCCCAAGGTAGTATTCTGGGTCCTTTATTATTCTTATATTTAGTCAATGATATGCCTATCGTGTCAAGTGCAAACTCCTACTGTATGCAGATGACAGTGCTCTGTTAGTGTCAGGTAAAAACCCACAAGATATTGCTAATGTTTTAACACTGGAACTGGAGTCCTGCAGGGAAATGGTTAGTAGACAACAAACTATCATTTACCCTAGGGAAAACTGAAGCCATTCTCTTTGGCACGAAACATAAACTGAGAAGGGGAAATAATTTTAATGTTCAGTGTAATGGGGAGCCCATCACTTTGGTTTCATCAGTAAAATATCTGGGAATCCCCTTTGACCCATGCATGTCAGGGAATTGATAGGGAACAGTGTAGTAAAGAAAGCGAATGCCAGACTGAAGTTCCTGTAAGACAAGAAAAGTGTCTACCTACTGAGGCTCGCAGGACCCTATGTCTAGCCCTTATACCAATGCCATATGGATTACGCTTGCTCTTCATGGTCCCCTGCCTGACAACAAAACTGAAAGATAGACTGCAAATCACCCAGAACAAAATCCTAAGATTCATCCTGGGGCTGGGAACAAAAGAACATGTAGGCCAGGATGAATTACAGCAGTTGGATATGCTGAATGTTGAAGACAGAGTAAAAACCCGAAGCTAAATCATGTTTACAAAATTGCTCACAAAACAGTGTTTCCCGAATATCTTGCTGTCAATTTTGTCAAGGTTGGGAACCAAAACAATCATAGTACTAGGGGGAGAGAGCACAACTTTGTAGTACCCACAGTCATTGGCCAGGCGTCAAACACCTTTTATTGTACAGCAATAAAGGAATGGAACAGACTACCCGCACATGTCAAGCCAGTCATAGCATGAACCAGTTCAAGAGAGTGCCAAAAGGTGTCTGATGAATGTAGCTACAGAAAGGGAGGGGAATGATTTTCTATTTTTTTGCTAACATTTCGTGTAAAATTTTACCTTATTCCTAGTATGACCCTCGTATTGTAGATGTCTTAATGGCCCTCGTGTAGTAGATAGTCTTTTTAGTATGATAATAAGATGCTATCTTCATTGTAGAATAATAAGAAAATATTATAACCTTTATATTATAATAATAAGGTAAAAGGACCCCAATAGAAATAAGTCACTCTGTCTGACTTTTTTGGGTTATCCTAGGTTCTCTACACATATGCTGCTATGTATGATAATTCTATGTAACTGTATTTGTGTATACCTGGAGTTTACCTGGAGAGAGTTTCGGGGGTCAACGCCCCCGCGGCCCGGTCTGTGACCAGGCCTCCTGGTGGATCAGCGCCTGATCAACCTTACTTACTTACTTTCTTACTTATACATAGCAGCATATATGTAGAGAACCCAGGATAATCCAAAAAAAGTCAGTGACTTATTTCCATTGGAGTCCCTTTAATACCTTATAATTATACTAGAAAGGAGATAATAATCTTATTATTATGCTATAAAGGAGATATACTAGGAATAAGGTAAAATGAGTTATTTATATTTATATGTGTGTTAGCTAAACAAATAAAAAATCATTCTCCTCCCTTTCTGTCGCTACATTCATTAGGCACCATGACTCACGACAAGGTGGACTCCCTTGTTAAAGCCCAGAAGAGCGAGACACCCTCACATGAGTTTAGTACCGGTTTCTGGCCAAAACCGTTAAAGAATTATCCGCAGAGTGGTAAAGAGGAGCTGGCTCACTGTAAATAAAGATAATATTTGCATTAATAACTCATTACAATTGTGATCAGTGTAGACGTGTGAATGGTTCGTTACATTTGTAACTCGTTCAGCTATCAAAACTTTGAGGCCCAGTCCTTGGACCCATTATGTGCCTCTGCAATCCTTTTGACTACCGCCCACAGGATGGGTATTGGGTGTATAATAAAGACTCTAAACTAACTTGTGAGCAATTTTATAACATGATTTAGCTTCAGTTGCTTAACTCTGTCTTCAGAGTACGCCTTCAATGGATTCCATTTCACATTGGTCTTCAGATACATAATAGAACTGATGATTTAGCAAAGGTGTATGCCTTGAAAGAAGGAGTAGATTATAATACTGGGCTGTCAATTATCTGCTTGAAAACAATCATACGAACAGAACTTCAACTAAACTTCAGTGACTTGAGACTGAAGGAGACTGACATCAGTCAGTTCACTCTTCATCAATATCATGATGGGAGAAAACCTTCGAAATATAAAAGGTTTTTGACTCAAGGTTTACAGCATCATTAGGTTTATAATAAGTTAGTGTTGTAAATGAGCCTGCACCCTAACTCATGAAGCAAAATATTAATACTCTTTCTCAAAAAAAAAAATGAAAAACAAATAAAGCCTTGCATTAATGTTCATCACCTCGCATACCTGTGTCACCAGTACTGCACATGACAATGGTGTCTGTAGTCGTACATTCTGGCGACGAATTCAGACGCTCACATGCATATTTAGTTCTCCTGTAGGGTCGCGTTATTTTTGAAAATTCCAAGAGGAGGCCAGAGACATTTTCCCATAGCCCCCGAAGTTTCTGGCCAGAGTGTGAAAATTTGTCTGGACTGCCTCCAAGTGAGTCGCCTACCCTGGCAAACTCTGTTGACACCGACCTCTGAGGTCGGTACCTCAGCCTCACAAGTGGCTTATAGGACAGATTTTCATAAATAATTGATGTTGCAAGAAACTCGCCTGCATGCACGTGTAAAGGACTAACTTACTTGGTGTTGCAGCATATATCCTGATCTTCAACTTCCCTAAGCTTAGCCTTAGCCCCTCTGGACTTCCCCTCAGAAACCACGTGCAAGTGCAACCGGGAGCCTTAATTCCTGCAATATTCAATCGTTATTAGTGACCTGCCTGCACCTCAGAAGTTCCTATATCCAAGGGGGTGTGTATCCCCTAGTACAACTATGCACACACTGACACTAGCTTCTAGGTAGACAAGAGACACTGGTACATACTGGGCATGCACTGCCAGCTGCATACAGGCCTACAGTTCAACTCACTCACAATTTTTCCCCAGACACTGGCCAGAAATCCTAAGAGAAAGTGGAGGTTTTGTCTTACTGTATGGGTCTGACGGAGGAGGTCATCTACGGTACATCAAGGTGCCTCTACCAGATTTCCCCAGGTCTTAAATGTAAAGACACGTGGGGGGCGCCGTCTGCTGATCACGGCATGTCTTGTTCAGTTGGTGTCTGTCTACAGTAGGACGCTATTGTGTCTTTGAGACCCATGCCTTGTAGTTCAAACTAGGGCTGCCAGTTCTCCCTAGCTAACTTAACCTAGTGTTTGCCTACATTATCGGCCTATTACTACCTATGTTAAGGTTTTAGGTCTACATTATTATTATCTACAGTTGCCTCAATAATTCTAATATTAGTGTACTAACAGTAAACTACCTACTTCTTCCCTGCAGGGTAAATCTATAAATTAATAAGTGCCTACCATCCACGCCAACTTGGGAGAGAACGCTTTTGTTTGGGTGGGTTTAAGGGCCATCCAGCTCAGCCGTTCCATTATGGCCTTGCTGGGATCCCTTGGTACGCCATATCTGTCCTGTGGAACTTCAGGGACCAAATAAATTTCCACATCCTCCCGCTGGCGAAGGTAGGCGCTAAGTCTAGATCAAGTCTGCCTCCCGCAGGCCCTCCCAGTGGGCCCTGGACTTGAGCTCCGTTCGACGGGTCGTCTGGCCGCTCAGCTCGGTCAGCCTCTGGTCTAACTTCTCATGTCCCGGTCCCACCGTGTGGACCTCGAGAGGTAAAAGCCTGTTGATGGGTCTTATAGTCTCGACACCATTCATTCTCACCTTCACCATTCTCAACCGCCCAGCCTTGTCTGGGTGGGTCAACACTACCAGGCCAAGAGGCCAGTATGCCCTGGGCGCCTCGGATTCTACTAGCACCAGGTTCCCTTCACTTAGCATCATCTTATTTGCCTCGAGGTCTGCTCCATAGAAATGTTCCCACAGGGCTGTCAAGTAATCCCTGCGCCACACCTGGTTCCATTTGTCCAGGATGTTCACCAGTCTGTTGTGACTCCTGTGCAGTTCTTCATTGATGGGGGGGACCATCTGGCCCATAATAATCCAGCTCCTTGGAAGACTGACTCAAAATTGCGGGGAAGGGCTCAATCCTCCTTCCAAACAGCATGTGATTGGGGGTGAGAGCTTCCTGCTTGTCAATCCCATTTTGCACGTAGGTCAGAGACCTGTTATTGACTCTTGCCTCTATCTTAACTAACACTGTCCTCAGTTCATCAAAGCTCACTCTCCTGCTGTGCAAGCCCTTCGAATGCACCCTTTGACTGTGCCCACCATGTGTT